GATCAAAAGACTGCGAAAGTAAAAGAAAGTGCAGACTGTGTGCCTTTGAGAAAGGATGGCAGCACCTTGAGAAGCTTTCAGGCAGAGCTCGGAAGGCAGCAAGAGGTGTGCTGGTCTGGGATCCGTCATTTCCAGCTGGCTGGGTTTCACGGTGTAATTTACTGTTTTACCCATTAGTAGGAGCAGCAACCTCAAGTCACTTCTCTAGTGCCAAGTTCAGTTAGGAGGTGTGTGTGTCCCTTTTAAATATTTTTTTTTTTATTTTTTTTTTAACCTGACTGGAGACAAGGAGAGTCAATGGGCAGAGGCTGCTTTTTCTGTTCCTAAGGAACGTGTCTAGCTCTCACTAAGCAGCTGTAGAGCATGTGCTGAGTCAATCTCAATGTGAAGTAAGAAGCAGCAGCCTTTAAAGACAGTGTCACCTCTGTGAAAGGAGCTAATTTCTCATTGTCCCAACTTCAGAGAAATCAGGAATAGTTTTTGGGTGGTGGATTTTGGTCTGTTCCACACTAGGAATTTCACTATCGTTCTTAACCTGAATTTTAAAATGGAGACACATGATGTTCTCCCATCTGGTTAAATTAAAATAGCATTGGTGTGAGATCAAGCTTACATTGTAAACTAAACATGAGCTGGAATTTGATCAGAACTTATTGCTCCTATGAGCTTTTGCTTGTGGTAAGGGAAGGTAGCAGTGCCTGCAAAAACAGGAGCCCTGCTCTCTCCCCACAGAGAGAACCTTGGTTGCTAGTGTTTCAAGATGTGAAGACTGTCAAGGAAATGGCATCTTTTGGCTAGAAGATGCTGCACTCAGGGTTGCATCCAATTTAAAAAATGTGCAAATTACTACCCTAGATTGGCCTGCCTGTGGTAGCTCCTAATAAAATGGATCTTGGAAAATTGCCAGCAGGCAACCTGAGTTTGGTCACTTTAAGTGCAATACTTTTTTAACAGAAGGTGGAAATTAAACACTTACTCAAGCTTTGCAGCTTTGAGTTGGCAGGGTGTTCTCACCGTGTCCATAGTGTTATGGCTTTCTCCTCCTCTAGGTGTAGTGACACTAAGGGGAAAAAAGAATTAAAAAAAAAAAAAAAAGCTCCTGGAAGAAGGTGTGGTTCGAAAGATTTTGGCTAATTACAGTGGACTGGGGGCAGTGCGGCAGCCAGCCAGCAGAGGCCTGTGTAAGCTGCGGAGCTCAGGAATGGGAAATACAAACCGGTTCTGGAGCTGGGTTTTGCTCAGGAGGCTACAAGGGAGCACAGGAGCACAGTGAGCTGCAGCCCCTGCCAGCAAAAGGGGAGGAGGTGGGAGCAGTGGCATCTGACAGCAGTGGAAACTGGGGCAGCCCTGAACGGGAACTGGGGTGCTAGGGCTGTGAGCAGCAGCCTCTGCCTTGCCCGTGGCTCTGGAGGAGGACTGCTGGTATGAGGTCTGCAGAGCTCTGCTTTCTTTAAGGCAGGGTGCCCTGGGGGGTGATCTGCACGCTGTGGTTTGGAGGGTGGCGGGGGTAATTGCACATTTAATTCAGGCAGCTGCAGCAGAACAGCACTCGGTAACCCAGGAGTATTTATGGGAGCCCACCAAGGGCCGGGGTGGGAAAACCCTTGTGCATGGGGGGTTGTGTGGGAATCATGCACACGAGCCTAAGGGCTGAAAATCAGACCTTTGCCCCAACAGTTTTCATTGCTTGAGTAAGGACCTTGGAGTAGAGAAGACTTAGAAAAGCAAAAGGTTGAGAGATGGTTTCCTGAGAGTTGGGTGGGGATTTTTGGCCGGTATCTCATATTATGCTCCATGGTCAAAGTGCAATTTTTTTGAGCTATCCAAGCACTTGATGCAGCAGGTGTAATTCCTGCACTACTCTGTAAAGGGCTAAGTAGCCATCACAGCCATGAATGCTCTCTTCTGTACCCAGCATTGAGTTCAGCAGTCACAGGATATCTTGAAAATGATCCTTCCACAGTTGTCTTTCTGTTTTCATATTTCATTGTGGATGTATGTATTGTGTTTAGTAAAAGGAAGCTGAAGATGTGAGGGTTTTTTTTCCAACTAGAGTCCTCAAATTTAATTTCTCATGCAGATGCCAACATGATGCTGGAGGACCAGTGGACTGGCTTGTGGGCAAAGCAGAGAGGAATGGGAAGATGAGGTCCTGATGTACTCTGGACTTGCACTGTGGGGCAGAGGGTCATGTTCAGAGCTCTCAGCTGGCTCCGAGTGCAGCAACAGAGTTTGTCATCTTACCAAATGTGGACGTGGTTACACCACCTATTGTCATGACAGTATTGCAATGAGCTCCTGAGGGCAGCAGGCCTCCAGTGGTGTAGGCCAAGCATGTGGATTATCCAGGTTAAGGCCGATGCAGAGGAGCAGGGAGTGGCTGCAGCACACAGCCAGCCCTGTTAAGGTGCAGCATACCCATCTTCCAGGAAAAAGAAAAGCCTTTATTCTTTGGTTCCTTCCTTTCTGGTCCCAAAAGCCAAGGTTGCCTTCTAGGGGAGGAGGCAGATAAAGCTTATGGGTAAACATGGAAAGCTAAACTTGTAAACAGTTTGTTCTAGATTTCTGTGTAGCTGCTGTTGTAGCCAGTGTGTGACGCATGGGAAACACATGTGGACAGAACATCTCAAAAGAAGGTCTGGACCCACTCTGCTTTCAGAGGGGCCAGAGTTTTGCCTTGTCTTGCAGGCAGATCCAGCCTTTGCTGCCTTGGAAGGTGGAGGAGTCTGTCGGTCTTTTTGTGCTCTCCTCAGAGCGCCCGTGTTACTGGAGGAACTTGGCCTGCAGTGGTTTTGGTGCTTGAGGCTTCCAGCAGTTTCAAGGGTTGCTTGTAGGACCTTCTAGTCTGTGCACATCTGTAGCCTTAGGCTCTTTTTTTTAACGTGTTGTGTAATAATGAGGATCACTTTAGTGTTTATCTAAGCAAACACGTGACTGTCTATTTCAGAGCTGGTCCGTGGCATTAAAAGCACTTCCACGTCTGCAGCCCTTGTCTTATGCAACCTCTTCACTCACAGCAGCCTTCTGCAGGGAGTTACCATATATTTTACTGGCACCTTATACCAGGGCACATTACAGATTTTTAAAGTTAGTTATTAAATACACACTTGAGCTGTCCATGGAAAAAACTTGACTGGCGTAGGTGTAGGGAGAGATAAAACTCTGTCTGGATGGTGTTTGGGTATGTGTTAGAGTCTTCAGGAAAAAGTCTCATGGTAGATAGGGCTCAACCTGAATGAAGGCAAAGAAGTCCCGGTTCTTGTTTGGGACTCAATCATAAAAAGTGCAAATTCCATGGGGTTAATATTGCAAAATGAGTGATATCACGTTATACACTCAGCTCGACTGAGCGGCCGCAGCAGAGATGGGGCGGCTTTGGCAGCGTGTAGCCTGCTCTATGGAAAGCAGCTGTATTCTCTCTTCCACGCCCTGGGAATAGGTTGCAGCATGTGTTTCCCAGTGCAGCCAGCCAGCTCTGGCCATCCACGTACAGGGAATGAAAAGGCCTCGGGTTTTCAGCCCTTTTGGGTGGGAATTTTTAACGTGATGCTGTTATGTTAAAGATTGCCTCATTGGAAAGGCTTGGTTTGAGATGTTTTGCATCTTTTCTGAACTGTTCAGCCTTTGCAGGGTAGATGCCAATTCACACAGACTCATGTGAAGTTTGGGCTGCATCTGTAAGCTGTGGAGAAAACTTTCCTGAGGTTGAACACGTCACCAGTAGTTTTTTGAAGATGTTTCTCTGTGTGTCTTGCTATCATGTTCAGTAGAGTTTGTGGAGGTTTTTGAATGTATTAGTTAATGTTTTAACCCTAAAACATTATACCTAAGTACTAAGGAGCTAAAATAATAACAATAAAAAATGCTAAAATACATAGATGCAATGCAACTTCCATAGCTATAATACAGATTTGTTTCTGTTAAATCTCTGTTTCACTGTTCCCTAAAGCACTTCAACTGTAATCTCTCTTGGACATGAAAAAACTATCAGTTTAGGCTACTTGCCCAAGTAAAGAGATCAAGTAGCGTATTTTGACAGCAATATCAGGAAAACTGGGATTTTGTAGTAACAATTTTTCAACAGCAGTGTTTGACAAACTATTGCTGATAGCTATTTCTTACCTTGGCTGAATGGTACATATGTGTGACTGTGTGGAAGAGAGACTATTTATAAACCCTTTATAGTTAAAAATAATAGTTAACATTAACTTTATAGTTAATATAGTTAATTTTTATGGAACTTGTAATGATTTTGTTAATGTCCTTTTGAAATTTTCAGGCTATTTAGAGATTCAATGTTTGTAACTAAGAATTGGATTAAAAATGGAGACATATGATTATGAGCATACAATATATTCTTATGTACATAAAATAAATTTGGAGAACTTTTCAGCTGTTAGAAGGTGGAGACTGCAAAGGAAGTGAGAGGCAAACCCAAAGGGAACTGACATGTCTGAGAATCACTCCAGACTCAATAACCTGAAACTCATTATGAGTCTGTATTCAATAGGGACACATTGTCATTACCACAGATTTCCACCATAAAATATTATATGGAGAAATCTTGAAAGCAGGAGGTCATCTGGCAACCTACTTGCAGATGGGAGGGATCCTAGCGTGGATGTTGCCTCACCATCAAAATTCAAGAGAAGTTTGTCATGGGAGCCCCTTCTGGCAGGAACTGAGTTGTTAGCTATTGCTAAATGACAGGGTGGTTTGTGTTACAGACATAAAACCACCTCGAGGCTGGGTCTGAACTGGCAGAAAAAAGCAGTCAGATTTACTCATATATTGCTACGACTGGGAGTAAATTTAAAACAGTGAATAAAAGGGAAGAAGGTCAATATATGAAGAAGTATTCACTGACATGTTGAACATCTTTTTAAAGAAGATGACTGCTTCTTATATCAATGACAGGTATTGATATACTGAGTTAGACTCGATAAGGGCACACTGCAATACTAACCACTTACTCCTTTGTTCTTTATTTGTAGGTCAAGATGTTGTTAAGTATAAAAAGTATCTTATGGATGTACTCCACATTAGTTATAACATATATGCTACCTAAAGGTAAGTCTGTTATACACAAAACCATTTATTAAAATTCATTTTAGTGGTTCAGTAGGGAGGGTATTTCCCAGTACTCTGGAAACAACCCAAACTCAGGAGATTCAGTTTCTGGTCTTGCCTCTGCTGCTGGTTTTGCTGCACTCTAACTTTGTTTCTGTGTTCTTTTCATTGCCTTACTGATTTATATAGAAAACTCTTGGTGGGTGGACATGATTTTGACAAATCTTTGTTTGTAGGTGTCGTTATTATAATTCAAATAATAATAAAGAAAGTGCCATAGTATCCCATTGTATAATGCAAAAGAGATTGCCTTCTCCAAGTATTCAATAGTAAGTTTTAATCCTTTAACCTATGCTTCTGGAATGTTGGACCTGTTGCCCAAGTATGTCTTGAACCTTCATTTTCCACAACCCACTAAGGAGCTCCTGGCAATAGATGGAGTGGGGGCTGATGGAACGGGCTAATTGTGGTGGAGTGCAGGCACCTTCCGTGGCAGCTTCAGCCTGGTGCCATGGAGGGAGCAGTGAGCAGTGCCATAGGCACAGGAGCAGGTTTCTGAGACAGACCTAGACAGGCTGCCCAGGTGGTGAATTAAATGGGAGAGTTCTTGGGCTACAGGAATGCTGGTTTGGCTTACCTACCAGCCAGACCCCAACGCATGTGTTCACATATGTCGTGCCACAGCAGCCTTTTGGGTCTGTAAGTCATAGCTTGCACCCTCTCTGTATTCAGGGTGGAAGGTGCCACTTGCAAGTGGAATAAGGGGGAAAGCAGTAGCCCCAGTCTCTGCTTTGCTCAGTGACCTGTCAAGGAGCAGCTGGGGACATGCCAGATCCCTGTTAGAGGGGGCTGCCATGGACTAACCTGGTGGCAGGTCCCTTGGCTGCTGGAGTCTGGAGCAAGGATGTATTAGGGCAGATGCAGACCTTTGATTTGAGTGGAAAGGAGGGGCCCTTACTACTTCTCTTGGTGCATACATGCTAACACTAAAGCATATATTCATATATGGTTTCCATGGTTATTTGAAAGTTTGAGTCAAGCCTTTCATAAGGAAAGGGTTCCTACAGGTGCTGCAGACTAGAAAATTGGGATAAGATCTTTCCCAGGCCTCAAACCAAAATTTTTCTTGATTTCTTAAAAGTTCTTGTTTTCTTTCTAGGAACTCCTCAAACTGATTTTAGCCTTTGGGAAAATCAAATCCACTATTTCCCTCCCTACCCCTCCGCCCCCCACACCCCCAAGCTTGAGCACTGTCTATAACAAAATCTTTAGGCAGTCCTGTAAGAGAACATAAAACACTGCTGTGGTTAGTGGAACCAACTGAAAAAAGTGTGTGTGGTTTTTTTTTTTTTTTATTTTCCTTCAAGCAGGTTTCCAGCACTATCCTTTACTATTTCCTACATCACTTCCTCCATAGAGTAGGTTGGATATAAGAGAGAAATTTTTCATAGTAAGGATGGTGAGACACTAGAACAGATCTCACAGACAGGTTGTGGATGCTCCATCCCTGGAACTGTTCACAGTCGGATGGGATGAGGCTTTGAGCAGCTGATCTGGTGGAAGATACCCCTGTCCATGGCAGGAGGGGAGGACTAAATGATCTTTGAAGGTCCTTTCCAACCCAAATCACTCTGTGATTGTAAGTTAGAGCTTTCTTTGAGGCAGAAATGTCCGTTTTAAGATAAAAGAAAAGGAAAAGCTGCTATCAGTAGTTATCTTAAAAACTGAGTGAATTTTAGTGCATCATTCACACAAGGAGAGAACTAAAGATAAGATTTTGCCTGGAAATCAACCTTGGGGTGGAGAACATGTAAGGACATGCTATAAGGCAAAGGAATCTGACAAATTTAGACCTAACGTTTCTGTTATGACCTATTGAAAGTCTTTCATATCCTTCTGTTTTGTAGAAACAACAGTTTGTGTAATAACGTTTTTGAGGATGAGTTTTACAAGATTATAGGCAATCTTTACAAGTATAGCTGTTTCTTTGGTTTAAAAAAATACTCTAAAATAAAATATATATCTTTGTTTTGAAAAGCTGGACATCTTAAGTTTCTTTTTTTTTTTTTTTTCTCTAAGTCATGAATTCAAATATAAAATTTAAGCTTTGAAATCTTTCATGAAACACAAATTCCCATGCCTCCATTCCCACAATGGTTTGGATCACTCCATATGATTTAATTAAATTTAATTAAATAGTCACTTCAATATGTTACGTTGCAATATTTAATTTAAAAATTTTCAGGCAAAATTGTTCTGAGAGTTTAAAATTTTTCTTTGAAAGGTCCTGCGGGAATTTCGTAAAAATCAGCAGTTATTTTTAAAGTGTAAATCCGTAAGTCTTAATGTTAAATCATAGCAAAATTGAAGCTTAATTTAGAATATAGCAACTTATAAGCATGCAAAATTTTATGCATTGACAACTAATCGTTGTTCCCATCTTTGTTTCCTCTTCCACTTTCACCCGTGTGAATGATCACATTCATAAATACCTTGCATATTTGCATGGCGTGCTCATTAGATTTTATTTAGCAAGAGAAGTATTTTTCCTTTGAGAGCAATTTGAGAATGGCCTCGTATACTTCTTTAAGCCTTCGAGTTCTCAGAAGATGTGTGTCAGGAAGGCAGCAGGAAACAGGGTGTCAGCTTTTGGGGTCATGGGAGTGCCCCTTTGCAAGACCTTTGCTGTTTGCCCTGGGACATGTGAAGGATTAATGACAGAAGTTCATGAGCAAGGTTTGTGCCTGCTGCTAGTGAGGCATTTACTCCCTTTGAGCTAACTGGTGTTGGGATATTGTAGTTTACAAGCTGGACCTTGTGATTATGCCATGTTGAAGTTTACCAGTTTTAAGTGACTATTTATCACGCCATGAGTGAAAGTTTTGTGAAAGCCCTGTAATGCAGAAGACAAATCCCCTAGACTGCAGTATGAGATGTTCTTTCAAAGGTACATGAATAACACACCAGTTTAAATATCAGCTTACAGAACTCAGATATGATCAGATATGTGCTATAAAATACATCTCTGCATGTCTATGCTGTCTGCATTTGAGTTCTGCAGCTAAGTTTTACATTTGCCTGGCTTTCTGTGAATTCCTTGAAGAACATGAAGGTATCTGGTTCTTCATCATCCTACGCCCCCTTCTCTTACTCTGCTTGCTCAGACCACGAATCACCTACCAAAGACCTCGGTGAGGGCACTGGTTGGGTCTCAGCCTGTTAGTCCTGCTGTCAGAGTTTCATTCGAGTTTGTGTAAGTGGTCTGTTCGTTTTAATTTATCATAACCATAAACCTTTTGATGAAGGTAAATGAAGAGACATCTCTTGGGCTCAGTGTCAGTAGCCAGATTAACAGAACACACAATCTCATTGATCCTTTCTATTTCTGCTGGTAGGCAGGGCAGTACATCACATGTCTAGGCAGGTTGCTGATGAACCAAAAACTTAGAATCATTTTTTTGTCTTATAAATTTGGCTTAATATAAATAGAATATTTTATTCTTGAAGCATGTGGGTTTTGCCTGCATACTCAGTAGCAACATTCTGTTCTTTTAAGCTTAATTACACAGTAAAATTGTTCCTCTAAGCAGTATCACTTCATATTGGCTGTTCTTTTCTTCAGACTTCTTGTCCATTAAAGACCTACTGGTCTGGTTGTTATGGTTAACATAATACAAAAGGGCAGAATTCTGCATTTTTTTTTCTTTAGATTTTTAAAGAGTTTTGTATCATTTACAACAGAAAAAAATACACATTCTAGGGAGAGGGACTTTGTTCTCAAACAAGTTCTTCTCCAGTTTGTCTCCCACCTCAAAAGGAAGGATTTCAAGCCTTGTGCAATTGTTGGGATAAGCTGACTGAAGCTGAACTGATGGATTGGGAGGACCTATGGCAGTTTTGCTGAGGGAAAAAAAGCCATGAAAAACCAAGCTGGAATTCTTTTATTTCATTTTTTTTTTTTTTTTAAAGGAAAAGTATGTCACTTGCCATCATCCCCATGAGGAACCGTATAAATGCATAGCCCTAGTTTTAGGTTTGAAGAAAATAAGACAGTAATAATTTGTGGCAAAATTCTACCCAGTAAGTTAGACCTGGCAGGAACTGTCTTCTGACAAACCATTGCATGGGAGAAGTTTTCATTCTGCATTCTCTTCCTGCTACTTATTCTGATGCTGGAGATATTTAATATTTAAACAGGGGAAGGCAATAAAAATGCACAACTTCCAAAGCACACTATCTACTGAGTCTGACTGCACTGTGCTGCTCCCAGCCCGACTCTGTAGTCCCATCATCTTGTACAATCATACCACTGACTTTGCTGGCAGCTCTGCCAATATACGTGTTTGTGGCCAGGTAATTTGGACTTAGCTCTCTATTTTATGTCTTTATTGTCTGTGTATTTTCCATAATTAATTATGCACGAGTGATATGTATTTGTTAGAAACAGATAAAAAAAAGGCTTATATTTAGCACCAGAAAGCTTAGTCATTTAAAAAAACATCCTCTTGTTTAAGAGTACATGATGTTACAAGTGTTCTAGGTTGTACATGGTGTAGTGGAGATCCAGTACAAAACAATGTTGGCAAACACCAGCTTTCCTCAGCTTGTATTCCGGCTTGCAAACAGTTACAAGATGTTTTGGTCAGATTTTTGCCCACCATGTCCCTTCTAAGGAACAGTCTATCACATGGCCTTGGTAGTGGCTGGAAAGGAGACACAACATGGAGTATAAGCATAGGAAATGGCAAAGAAACAAAACACAAATGCCAAAAGAAACAAAAGGGCTATGTGGATTAACAGAAGATGTTGATGCTTTCTGCAGTGGACAGTAAATTGTTTCACTGATATGACTGATGCAAGAAATCAAGGTTTTTGGAACTGTGCAGGGACGTCACTTAATCTTGCATGTAATTGTGATCATGATGATATTTTACTGCCAAGGGTTTCAGTCTGCTGATGTGAATACACAGATTTTAAAGAAAGGGAATTTCCTCAGGGTTCAGTGCTGATATTCTAGATCACTCATAATCAGAAACAACATTCTCAAAAGTTTATTAAAGTTCTGTCAGTCAGGATAATTATAACTAGGTCATTTTTCATTTAAGAAGTTCCTGTAGTGTATGTAGATGACAAGAGATCATAATAAATACTAAATATTTTGAGACTGATTTTAATCTCCCACCTGTGCAGTTTGGCAGTAATTTCATCACAACTGATAGGACTGAGTATTCATTCTGCTTCTTTTTCTCTACCCCACCATAACTCTGTGAAGTTTCAACAAATTAAAGGTGATATAAAAAATAGTGGGGTTTCCATACTGTACATCTTCAGGGTAAAATTAGTCTTTTCTGGTTTTTAACCAATCAATGGATTTTTTTTGATTCTTCCTAAAGAAAGTTGTGTGCAGACAAAGCTTTTGAGCTACTCTTTGGTCTTCAGTAACTTCTGCAGGCTTATCCACAAGCCTTGTGAATTCTCCAGTTTTCATTTCTGTATCAGAAGATGGAAGAATGAAAATCTTGCTGCTCGCCTGAATCTCAGAGTGAGCATCTTGCTGGTAAATGTGCTCTGACAGTGCCATTCCATGTCAACTTTTCAGCTGAGCTTTTGGTGCAGTGCAGCTGTTTTGGCATCACACTACCCTGTTGTTGCACTCTCTCTGGACTAGTCATTTCTGATACAGTCATTTTTAGTGTATGTGCATTGTAAACCCAAGAATTCCTAGTTAGCCATTGGTGGAAAGGACCCGAGGACTTCATTCCAGCTTCTGGATCTCCTTCAGATGGCCTGTGTTTTTTTTCCCTAGTTAGTTCTTTATTATTGAAATGCTTGGTTATCAAGCTGGTGAGTCTTGTATTGAACCTTTTTAGATAATGATATTAATACTTCCTCCTGAATAAAGTCTCTTAAAAATAATCAACTTAATGAACTTTATAATTTTAGTTCCTTCCCCCACCCTTCAAAATCTACTCTGTGTAAAGAGTATATTCTACTCTTTATAGAGAGATTTTATTTTTGTTGTTAGATAAAAAGGTAGATAATTTTCCCATGCTGATATCTCTTATTTCATGTATCACTCTCCTGGTGGTTAGTATTTGAAGTTATTGTATTTTTAAACTTTCTGAATCCAAATTAATGATCAGCATGTTCCACCTTTCAAAAAATGTTAGAGGGCAGGACAGTGAAAGAGGTAAATACTGTTGTGCATCAACTTTTAATCTTCATTAAGCCATTATGTATGGTGAAATAATATCACATAAAAAACCATAAATCTAACAGAAATCCACTCTTCAGACAGTTGCTGTGTGCAGGTTGGATGAACAGTAGTCAACTTTCCCCTCAGGATATTGTCAGGTGGAAGCATTTCACTGTAAAGTGTTTGCAGCTGGAGATGTCATAAAAATGATAAAGGTCCTATCATGTCAAGTCTGAGCCAAGTAGGGACTTTCTGTGCACTTTACTTCCTTCTCTTCTCTAACATCCTGAAATACTTTATTTCTGCAATATGTTAAAGTCCCAGAGGCTACAAGGAAATAATGTTAGAAGAATGACTGCTTGGGGGGATCTCACTGGAAAGGCTTTTTTTTCCAGCATGTATGCAATAGAAAGAGTTAACCCTTGAAAGAATGATGGAGTAAGGGATGTCATGTGTGCAAAGTCATGGGTTATGACTTTATGTCCTTTAGGACAGGAGCACATGAGCAAGCTGTTGTGAGGTAAGGCAAGGTGTAAATGTTGGTAGCTCCCCTCTATGCATACTTTTGGCCAGCAACAGATGTGAGGTAACTCGTCCCTTGTCACTCAGAGTGGTCTTCCTCCTGTTAAGCAAGAAATCATGGCTCATAATGTAAAATTTCAAAGCAGTTTCTGAAAGTGGTCGATAACTTGGTGACTATAACAAATGGAAAAAATAAGTCAGCAAGCAGTGAATTAAGTTTGCCCAACTTCAGCAACCTAGAATATTGACACAGACTCTTTCTTCAGCTTGAACTAAACAGTCTTGCTACAAATCAGCCAGTGTTCATGAATTGCAGGTCTTGTGAATTGTTAAATGAAAATGAAATTCATCTGTTTCCGATTCTGCTGTTCCACTAATGTAGTTCTTCCTTCTCTCTCCCCCTTGTTCTAGTTAAAGCAGAAAAGAAAACCCTGGTGAAGGGATCCCTCTCTGGAACGTCAGTCCTGCCGTGCTTCTTTTCCACCACACCCACTATCGCCTCTAGCTATGCGGCTGAGTACCTTCGAATCAAATGGTCAAAGGTGGAACTGGATAAAAGCGGGAAAGATGCAAGAGAAACCACAGTCCTGGTGGCCCAAAACGGCAACATCAAGATCGGCCAGAGCTACAAGGACAGGGTGTGGGTGCCGGCGCAGGCGGAGGAGAGCGGGGACGCCTCGCTGACGCTCTCCAGGCTGCGGGCCAGCGACGCGGGCGTGTACCGCTGCGACGTCATGTACGGCGTCGAGGACACGCAGGGCCTCGTGTCCCTGGCTGTGGAGGGTAAGCCTCTCTCTGCTTCTTGGTAGCCAGCAGTGACCCCCGTTCAAACAGGAAAGCTGGTCATGAGCGTATAGCTGGAGAGCACTGAAAGGCGTGTCTTTAGCAATTTACCCTTCCGTAACTAGTCGCTCTTCCTATTCGCGTCCTGTCTTTTATTTATTCTTGGGCACCTTTTCCAATTCATAGCTCTCCCATCGCCTGTGCTTTTGGGGAGGCTGCTCCTGATTCCTGGAACAAATGCCTCTTGCTTATTCCCAAAGTAGTTTGTATCCTTCCTAAAGGGTACATATCCTTCGCAAGACAAGCTCCTTCTTTTACTTTTTTGATTTTTTTCAAATGGAGATACCTCTAAGGCTTTCTCAATCCAGCCCTTTTGAAATACAATATGTGTTGTGCTCATACCTCGGTCTGAAAGTGTCAGTGTCCTTATTAGAAGACAGACTTGGCAGGCAGAGGCACTTTCCTTTAATTGTTTGTGTAGGATGCAGAGATACTACTGCCTTCCTACTGGAGCTCTAGTTGGCCTATCTTGCCACTTGATGTACAAAACCATAATGCCAGCAAAACTGGGAGCCGCTCTTTCTGTGATGGCAATGCAAACACAAAGGAAGAGTTTCGTTTGTCCCAGTAATAAAGGCTGAAGAGGTAGGAGGAAACCCATCTGGCACAACCTGCAGGGAAACAAGCAGGGAGGTGGCTGCTAACGTTCTTCCATGTGGAGGATCCAGGGCTAAGAGTTTGCTTGCCATCACTATAAGGAAATGGCCTCCAAAACTTGGAGAGGTATACATGTAAAAGCATAGAAGAGACTTCAAAAAGCATGGAAGTGGCAGAAGGAACATCTGATCTCTGGGTGTTTTTCTCCTGAGAGCATGCTTATACAGCACGATAAGTACAGCGTAAAGATGCTCCAGAGCCTGGTGCTGTACAGCCCTGTCAGTCTGGCGTTGAGCCTGAGCTAACAAATTGTGCTGAAAGGCAGGACATATTAGCCCAGGCTCTGTGCCATGTAACTGCAAATTTTGGACCCAAATTACTCTGCATGCTTAGAACAACACTCAGCTGTGTGGCTGTACCAGCCTGCATCAGCCTTAGTTTGGACTTTGCCTTGCACTCCTTTACACTTAGGTGTTTTTTGAAAGTCCAATATTTAACTCCAGTGACTGAATCCCAAAACAAATATTAATATCTGCTGCTGGAAATTATAGCTTTGGCTAAGATTTTTATTTTTGTGAGCTTAATACTGCATTGTTCTTCCAGTATGGTTAACCTAACTTGAACAGCCTTTTGGCATTGATTCAATGAAAAGTTTTGAAGGTGTGGTCTTAATTTGGAAACACAATAAATCACTGTAACCATTGATGTCTGTGTAACTTCATAAACTCTTTAGTCCTAATGGCAGAAGCAAAAGAAATCCTGGTTTGAACGTTCTTTTCAGTAACTAGTGTACCTGGCATTCCTTACTTGTTTTCACGTGCTCCCTTGACTACATGTCTACAACCAGGAGCAGATGTTTACTATAATAAAATATCTGATGATTTGTGGAAATACTTTAGCTTCTGTAGTTAGTACTCCTGCAATAAGATGAACTGATCAGATTTGGGTTATTTTAATTGAAAGAAAATTTCAAGCACTCCATGTTCTTTCTGCAGCTGTTCTTTTCCATGATTGCTTTCACTTCAGCTTGACTGCAAAATTTCAGGATTCCAAAAAGCCAGATTTCTATACAAATAGAAATTAGCATTTTTAGATTGCCATTTGTCTACTCCAGTCTCCATTTTCCGCTTTCAGTAAACAAATGTTCTTTCTCAGATTTTCAAGGATTTCACCTGAATATTGCTGCTAAAATATTTTCCCTAATCTCAGTAGGGGTCTATGGGATTTTTATGATGTCAGCTTTTTATTTAAAAGAACTCAAAGCCAAATGTTACTCCCAAATGTAATTGATTTGCATTATATTGCCTTTTTTAAGCTGCACCCCAAAGTGATAACAAATGGAGACGTGGTCTTCTGTACACTCTGTGTGTTCTTTGCTGGCTGTTGTTAGGGTGGTGTGGGGAGATCTTTTCACGTAAGCTGTGAAGTTTCTCCACGGTTCCGCACCGTGCCTTGGTCAGCTCTCCTGGGTGGGGCTGGGCCTTGCAGCACAGCCCATGGAGTCCTGGTGAAATTCTCAACAGTTTTGCTATTCTGCACGTTTTATGCTCATCGCAAATGAGACGTAAAATGCATTTGTGTAGCACAGTTTTTCAGTAGGCTCAAAGGATGCAGAAAAAGTCATGAGTCTGGCTCATGTCATTGCTTGATCTTATATTTTAACCCTAAAGTGAAGCAGAATCATCCTGTAAAAGATGGGAAGCTTCTTCAAAATGTGTGGGGCAACTTAGGCATGGAAAAAAATGTTAATGTTTCAGAAAGCAATATCCATCTACTTTTCTTAAGTGCCAACACTTGTGTGTGTGTGAAGTTTAATTTAATAAACTTTTCAGAAATGGCTACATTAAGTAGGCCAAAGCTATGTGCATCATTTTGCTGAAGTAGGTGAAAGTGCTTTTGTAATTATGATAACTTTGTGTTGTTTCTATGCTTGTTTCTTTCAGTATTTTAAACCAATGCAGGACTTGAGTTCTAGATATTGTCAGGATTTCCATTTGTTTTACAGACATTCCTCCATTTGAAGCTTCCAAATAAAAAGCACATTCCAGCATTAATGAAGCCAGGCAGATAAGCTTAGACAGCTGTGCTGTTTGTTCCTCAAATGAATCTTTGCAGGGAAGATAATAGATAATTGGGAGATCTAACTTGAATTAAAAAAAAAAAAAAAGGACAAAAACCAAACCTGTAATTGCTGTTTCTATGTTGATCCTTTTGTTTAGCTTTGTTAGGAACACAAAACTGCTATTGAACCCACTGTGCATCAAGTGAATGTGTTTTACCAGTGATGAAACATATTGTGAATGGAAAAATTGCATTTCTAAAAATAATTTTCTCTGTAGGTTATAGCTTTTCCCAGGTTAAGCTGTACAAGCTGAGCAGTTGCTGTTAGTCATTGAAAGTAAACAATAAAACTTCTAATGCTTTTTATTTTTTTGCCTGAGTCTCAAGATCAAGGTTGTCAACAAGAGATGTGTATAAATGTGCATCTATTTCTTTCTGTCACCCACAGATTTCCTCAGGCAGAGGTGGTGGCTTAAGGTTAGATAAACCTGCAAAGAATTTATTTTTTGCCAGTTGTTTTTTAAACATATGTCAATTTTTGGTATCTACAGCTGGACTCCTGGTTAAACCACCACTTAACCACAGCTGGTTAGGTTAGTTATTCACAAGGAAGATTCATATGTTTGGGCAGCCACCTTGCCTTTGTCTCTGCACTGCATATTTCTGTGAAACCTTTTTTGACAGGTAAAATCTTTCTAGAGAATAGCAAGATTTTAGAAACTGCCATAATTCTGTGCTTCTGGTTTGCTTTGGTTGTAGGCAGAATCTATGTCAGCTTGGATATCAATAGCTGCTTATATTTGGTTCAGTAGGAGCTCTGTGGTTTAACACAGTATCCTGTATCCCATGATCAATACTTTCCTGTATGGGCATCATGAACTTGTGATAGAAGTGAAATAATTTGGTTTGAACTCTGTTTAAACTGCTCAGTTTAAAGCTTCAGCCTGAACTTCCAAGTTTTCACTGGGGGTACAGGAGTGGTTGTGTTCATGTTGCTAGCTGGGGTGACTCTTTTGTGGGCATGGTCCTCAGGAATGGATCTGAGACAGTCATGTAGGACCACAGGGACTTGCTGGGTCACTTAATCCAGCTCCTTTGGTGTTGCAAGCAACCATATTACATGCTGTGCTACATGCCTTTTATTAATCCCCAAATCAAGCCGAGAGCACCCATTCCCATGGATTATCAGGTGCTTTAGTATTTCATCTCTAAGATCAGTGGGTTTAGACTGAACTGTGCCCTAAACAATGGTATTTTCATTTTACAGCTGGTGAAACTATAAGAGGGAGGATCGAAACACCTAATTTTAGCCCCTGCAGGAAGTTTTGGGGCAGCCGGATGCCTGCCCTGCTCATTAATCACTGCAAGAGTGGTAGTGTCCCCCGAGGCAGGGGACAGGGACAGGGCCAGTGCTGACAGGTCTGCAGGCTTGCACAGAGGGGCAGTTTCACCACACTAGGTACCTCCATTCCTCTTGTAAATGGTAGGAAGTGCTTTCCTTACATTCTGGTTGCTGCTATAATTTCATTGACTTCTCAGGAATATGTTATCTTCAAAATGACTGTAACAGTGTTACAGTGCCCTTGGCCTCGCAGTTTTTGAATACTTGGTGTTATTTTGTCTTCATTCTTAGTGGTTTCCTTATCACTGTTGTCTGAAAATGACAGATCTCAGGAGCCTTCACATACTTGAGACAGTTTTCCCATCTTGATGAGAAACCACTTCCTTCCCATTTTAGGCTGCTTTGGACACTGGTGGGCTTTCAGTGCATCCCAGTGAAGGAGACCTTTTGGAACAAGGTTGAGGCTGATGACCAGCAGATAATGCCTTCTCATGATCATCTCCAAGTGTTTGCTTGCCTGCTAATAGCTTACCAAACACAATTTCACAACCTTAACTTGGAGGCCACGTCTGAAACAGGAAACCTGAAGTCAGGGTGTGATTTATTTCACCTTCGATGGTTTAAGGTTGCGTGCCTACTCTGAGCTAAACAGACAGGCTTGTGAAACCTCCAAGTCCTCTCTGATGAGAGCCTTGGGTGGGATGAACTCCCGGGTGGTCCATATCCCTGGCCATCAACTGGAGAGATCTAGATGACTCGTTTAGACTACTAACCTTTAAGCAAAACAGACTGGGTGAGTTGAATCCCAAAATAGATTTTATAAAAGTATTGGTGTAGCTCTCTATGTCCATGTTTATTTCCTCTCTCTAGTTATGACAAAGCCCATTTGTATAGAATAGTTTTGAGATACCTTGTAAAAGCTGACCTAGAAGTGCAGTGT